GCCCGCGGAGGCCTCTTGCACTCCTCGTTCTCCCAGGACCACACCATGATCCTGTTCGGGATCATGCCGTCGGTGTTGCTCTTGAACTTGTCGTTGCACGTGCAGACCTGGCGCGCTCCCCGCGGGGCGTCGGGGGCCGACAAAAAACACGGGGGGCAAAGGGAGGGCGCGCTGGCCGGGGGGAGAGAGAAGCTCTCGAGCGGGTGGCGACGAGGCGCCGGCAGTGCACACGCCGGGAGCAAGCTGGAGCTCGACCCCCGCTTTCAGTAGGAGGGGGAAAACCGACATACACAGAAACGTTCGGCGCTCCGCGCACATTTCTCGGATCCGCGCTGTGCCCCCCCTCCCTGGCGCGCGCGCGCCAGGGGCGGCGCCGGAGGCGCCGCCGGGGGGGCCCGGCGCGGACCCAAGAGATCCGCGCGGAGCGCCAAAAACTTCCGTTTGTGGCGTTTTTCTCCTTCGATTCAGAGGAGGAGACCTCGCGCACACATCGCGCACGAAAACCTCGCGTACAAAACCTCGTGTACAAAACCTCGTGTAGAGGATCCCCTCGATTCTGGCCGCGCAGATCGCGTCTCCCGCCCCTCCGCCGAGTGCAGCCAGCGTGCTGCCACGAGCGCCGCAGCCCACCTCGGCCAGGAGCGGGCTCTCTCCCCCGGCGGCCAGACTCGGAGGAGCGTCCGGCCGACGCCAGCGCCCCTCCCTGAGCCAACAGGGGTCCCTGCTTGCAGCGTCTGGACTGTGGGAGGAGGCAGGAATGATGGAGGAGCAGGAATGAGGAAGGAGTGGGAGGAGCAGGAAGGAGCGGGAGGAGCAGGAATGAGCGGGAGGAGCAGGAAGGAGTGGGAGGAGCAGGAAGGAGGAAGGAGCGGGAGGAGCAGGAACGAGGGGGAGCACAGGGGCGGATGAGGAGCGGCAGCCCGGGTGGGCGCAGTCGTGTCTGGCGGCGCTGGCACGAAGACCTGCCACAGGAGGGCGGAGAGAGGGGAGACTGGAAGAGACGAGAGCGAATCCACGCCCGGCCGGCCGCTCTACGGAGACTGGGCAAAAGTGTGTCGAACAAAAAACATGACATATAGACTTAGAACCTCGAGACAGATGGACAGTCCAGCGCAGTCCAAGATACTAGACAGGAGTGGGGACTTGTAGGACGGGCGAGTCTCGCCAAGGACCATGTTCTGATGCCCAGGCTTCATGTTGAACTCGACGTACTTCAAGATGCCGCCGTGGTTGAGAATCTTCACCTGGCGCGCCGAGAGACTAATCCGCTGAAGAAAAAATAGGCGGAGAATTTCTTCCGGAATCGACCACGAGTGACGGGGCAACTTTGGCGCCCAAATCAGTGCGGTCATAAGACGGCGCGCTACCAGTTGAATCGCATTGGCTCTCTGGGACTCGCGCTAGCTCTTACAACATCGATCATCCCCAGGGGAGGGGGTGCAACCTGGACATGCATAGTTCGTATTAAGACTACCCGCGGCCTTAACCCAGAACTGGGCCAGGCCAGATCGGGATGAAGTCATAAACTTGCAAAGGATTCTGTATGGACAAACAATGACATTTTACGCATGCATGCGCGCGGCGACGCATCAGCGACTGAGGGATTGGATTGAAGTAGCCGTAGGCAAAGGAATCTAACCAATCTTCATATCATAAAGAAAAGAAAGCATTCACACTAGACGAGGAAAGACAACCCGCCTGGGGGTGGTAACTTTGGCAATTATGTGGGCATCTCGCCCTACAACCAACCCTCGGTGCCCGAGTGGTCAGAGCGTCCAACGTGGTCCGAAATGGGGTCAACATGGCGCCAGATGGACCTAGATGGCCTCCAACATCGCGCAAGATGGTCCGATTTGGTTCAAGATGGCCTCCAACATGCCTCCAAGTGGCCCCGAAGGGCGCCAACGTGGCCCAGGGTGGCAACATGAAACATCCCATGGAAGCTATTGGAAAAGGTCAATCGCACAACATCTGAATGTGCTTTTACAGGTCGCTCTTCTTCGGGTTACCTCTCGCTTTGTCGCTCCCGGTAGTCTCCGAGGCCAAGGTAAGGCCCCAGCTTGGACCAGTGGAGCCTCAGGGGGATCAACGAACCCCAGAGCGTTGCAGAAAAGGATCCCACGAGCGCTCCAAGAAGGCTTCCTGGAATCTCCTCGAGGCGACTCGCGGAGCTCCCCGAGGGGGCGACGCCCTCTTTGAAGCTGCCTCCCTCGTGGAGGGCCCCCCCGAAGGGGCCTAAGGAAGAGCCCCGCCCGGGAAGGCGCCCCGAGGATCCCGCGGACGCTCCCCCCACAAAGGGACCTCGTCCGGCCGCCAAATTCAGATGATTGGGGGATAGCGTCGGGGCGTTGCCGTAAGGAACCCAACATAAGGAACGAGGCCCCTATTTTCCATGAGTTGACCTTCGATTTCGTATCGAAAACCCAAGGGAAACCCGAGGCAAGCTGCGAACCAATCAAGGAACACGGAGCCCCTCCCCAACGAAAAGGGTTCCTTCTTCAGCGCCCCGACTGTATTCGAGCCGATCTTAGGTCGGCCATGTCCCCCTGCGGGCGCCAGCCCAACGGCACACAAGAGACCCCCAAGAGGCCCCCGTGACGCCCCAGGAGGCCCCAGAAACTCCAAGAGGCACCCGAGGGGCTTCCTATCGTCTCACCAACCCTTCCTTCATTCTTCTCTCTCCTCCTTCCTCCCCCTCTGCGTCAATGACCCTCAATCCTCGAACGAAAAGCGCTACAATAAGTTCGCCGGCCCAACGGGCCAAATGCGTGCAAAGATCTCGGGTAACTGGTTAACAATATTTCTAGTTCGCGGGCGCGGGGTTGCCCCTGGGGGTCCCCGGACGAGAAGTACCCCCGCAAGGTCCGGCAAGGTCCAAGCAAATCCCGGCAAGGTCCTGGCAAGGCCCTGGGCAGGTCCCGGGCAGGTCCCAGCAGGCTCCCAAGAGCGTTCCAGGAGAGCTTCAAGTGCTCCAAGAGAGCTCGACTTGGCCTGAGACGGCACAAGAGCGATCCAAGACGCCAAAGATGGCCTCCATACAGCCCAACGCGCCTTCAAGACGCCTCAAGAAGCCTCCAAGAGACCTCCCAAGAGGGCCCCAAGAGGCAGACAGTACTGATTTCCCTGCAATTTTTGAAGGTTGGCGTTCTCGCCTTCTCCAAGACGTCCCAAGAAGCTTCCAGGATCGCCCCAACACGGCCCAAGAGGCCTCCAAGAGCGCCCAGAACGGTCCTAGAGGGCCCCCCCAAAAGAATCCCTAGAGGCTTCCAAGATGGCCGAAGAGGCTCCCAAGACGGCTCCAAGAGCGGGCCCAGGCGAGGACCCGAACGGACATGTGGAGCTCTAGGCGCAGAGAGGTCTCCTGGAAGCCCGAAGGAGCCCCAAGAAGCCACCAAGAGGCCCCCGAGAGGCCCCAAGAGACCCCACACAAGCCCCAACCAAGAGGGCCCACAGAGGCACACATGAGTGATGTTCCTACAGTTGTTGAAAGTTTCTTGCGTCCTCGCCTTGGGAGCTTACCGGCGCTTCAAGAAGGCCCAAGACGCTTCCAGGATCGCCCCAACACGGTCCAAGAGGCCTCCACGAGCGCCCAAAATGGGCCCCAGAGAGCCCCAAGACAGCCCCACAGGCTTCCAAGATGGCCGAAGAGGCTCCCAAGACGGCTCCAAGAGCGGGCCCAGGCGAGGGACCCGAACGGACATGTGGAGCTCTAGGCGCAGAAAGGTCCCTTGCCGGCCCCAAAGGCCCCCCAAGAGGCCCCGAGAGGCCCCAAGAAACCCCCAATCCAACAGGCCCCAAGAGACCTCCCAAGAGGGCCCACAGAGGCAAAAATTACTGACTACCCTACAGTTGTTGAAGGTTTCTTGCGTTCTCGCCTTGGCAGCTTACCAACGCTCCAAGACGTCCCACCAAGCTTCCAGGATCGCCCCAACACGGCCCAAGAGGCCTCCAAGAGAGCCTGAAATGATCACCAAAGGCTCCAAGACAGCCCCAGAGGCTTCCAAGATGGCCGAAGAGGCTCCCAAGACGGCTCCAAGAGCAGGCCCAGACCGAGAGGCCCCAAGAGGCCCCAAGAGACCCCCAAGAGGGCCCCGCAGAAATGAGTGATGTTCCTACAGCTTTTGAAGTTTCTGGCGTCCTCGTCTTGGGAGCTTATCGGCGCTCCAAGAAGGCCCAAGAGGCTTCCAGGATCGCCCCAACACGGTCCAAGAGGCCTCCAAGAGCGCCCAAAATGGGCCCCAGAGGGCCCCAAGACAGCCCCACAGACTTCCAAGATGGCCGAAGAGGCTCCCAAGACGGCTCCAAGAGCGGGCCCAGGCGAGGGACCCGAACGGACATGTCGATTTCTAGGCCCTGGGGTCCCCAAGAGGTGGCCAGGAGGTCCCAAGAGGTCCCCAAGAGGCCCCCAGGATGCCCCCAAGAAGCCCCCAAGCGGCCCCCGAGAGGCCCCAAGAGACCCCCAAGAGGCCCCCGTGACGCCCCAGGAGGCCCCAGGAATTCCAAGAGGCACCCGAGAGGCTTCCTATCGTCTCACCACCCCTTCCTTCACTCTTCTCTCTCCTCCTTCCCCCCCTCTGCGTCAACGACCCTCAGTCCTCGAACGAAAAGCGCTACAATAAGTTTGCTGGCCCAACGGGCCAAAGGCGTGCAAAAAATCTCGGGTAACTGGTTATCAATATTTCCAATTCGCGCGCGCGGGGCCGCCCCTGGGGGTCCCCGGACGAAAAAAACCCGGCAAGGTCCCTGCAAGGTCCTGCATGGCAAAGTCCCGGCCAGGTCTCAGCAAGCTCCCAAGAGTGCTCCAGGAGCGCTTTTCCTGGGCCCCAAGAGGTCCCCAAGAGGCCCCGGAGAGGCCCCAAGAGGCCCCCAAGCGGCTCCCAAGAGGGCCCGGTGACGCCCCAGGATGTCCCAGAAATGCCGACAAGAGGCCCCAAAAGAGGTTCCAAGAGGCCCCCAAACGGCCACGAACGCGCAAGCAAACGCCTGCGATGGCACAATACAGGCCGGCGGAGTGAGCGAAGCGATTTAAAGTAAAAATATAATCCAAAAGCATTCAAACATGATCAGGAATAAAACGAGATTCGTCTCCAGAAATCCGCCGACCCTGTCGGCGTGTGTGGGGTGTCTGTTCGGTCCCGTCGACGGGGAGCATTCTTCCGGCCCCTCCCGTCGGGGGGGAGAGAGTAAGTACCCTTCCTCGTTCGGGGAACGGTTTCGCAGCATGAAGGAATTCCATCCACGTCCTCATTACGTCAAAGGGACGCTTCCCTTTGTCGCTTCCCCGGCGGGGGGGATGGTCCCGGGGGGGGGGGGAAGGGTCAGATTCCCATCGCCTCTGGGGGATCCTCCTCTCCCATGCCCGTCCTCCTCCGGCGCGCGGGTCCTCCTCGGGTTCCCCTCCCCAGGTGGGGAGGAGTCCCATGGGGGGGAGGGGAGTCAGATACGCATCCGTCCCTGGGGATCTTCCTCCCCCTCCCCTCCCCTCTCCCGCGCTGGTCCTCCTCCAGTCCTCGTCCCCAGCTATGGGGGGGGTGCCAGGGGGGAGTCCTTTTCCTCCTCCTTCTCCTCCTCCTCCTCCTTATCTCCGCCTCCTCCTCCTCCTTCTCCTCCTCCCCTTCCTGGTCGTCGTCGATGTCTTTCACGGTCGGCGGCACCGGCCGTCAGGCCTTCACTGTAGTAGGACAATCGTCTCCAAACAATTTGACTATCTTTAAAACTCGGGGATGGACAGACCTCCCTTTAGTAAAACGTGGTTTAGTGACAACGACTTCGGGCCCAAACCTGGCGGGCGCAAGCCTGGAAAATAACGGCCACGGCGCCCTCTCGAGAACCGAGCACGGACAATTCACTAATCGACGTGTCACTATTGGGGGTTCTGTCCACCCCCGAAAAACGTGTTCCTCCTGTAGGGGAACGTGCCCGGCTTGAAGCCGATCGCAACTTCACGTTCCCTGGCTGGTTGAGGGCTACACCAAAGGCCCGTCCACAGGAGACCTTCCGCAAGAGACCCAGCCCAGAGACCCCAGGACGTCCCTTGGGTTTGGGTGCGGGAGCGCCGCGCCTTCCGTCGCAACACCGCCGAAGCCCCAGGAATCCAAGGCACCCTGGAGCAGGGCTGGACCTAAACGGTGTTTTCCGCTTTCGTTTTGTTGTCGTTTTCCTTCGCTTTCGCCTCGAACCCGCCTGTACCGCAAAGCGGAGTCGAGACGGAAACGGCCCACGAAACCACCAAACACACCGTTGAGTTAAGTACAGTCCAGCCCTGCCCTGGAGGCGAGCAGCGTGTCTCTTGGCATGGGCCCCCAGTGTATTCGCGCGGATCACAGCGTCGCCTTCCCTGGCTGGCCTGCCCCCTCGGCCTCGCTCTCTCGTCCACGGCTCGGCGGCGCGCCGAGGGGGAGAGAAGCGAGAGAGGTGGCCTCCTGCCTTCGGAGACGCCGCCTGCGGCTTCGGCGGAGGAGGAGGAGGACGAGAAGGAGGAGGAGGCGGAGGCGGAGGAGGAGGAGGAGGAGGAGGCTCAAGACGCTTCCCAGAGGGCGAGAGGCCTCCTGAGCCCCCCGAGAAAGCCCGCCTCCCTCTGCCCATCCCCCTATGGGCGCGCCGCCGACACCCGCTGCCCTCCTCAAGACAACCCGTCTGCAATACGCAGAATCTCACTCTCTCTCTCTCTATATATATACAAGTGGCACGTGTGTGCCCAGGCTCATACACAAAAAAGTGAAAGGACGTTTGAAGCAGGAAGACGCCATGACGGCGCCTCCTCCTCCTCCTCCTCCGCCCCATCCTCCTCCTGTTTCTCCCTCCTCCTCCTCCTCCTTCCCCTCCTCCTCTTCCCCATCCTCCTCTTCTTCCTCCTCCTCCTCCCTCCTTTTCTTCTTCTTCTTCTTCTTCTTCTTCTTTTTCTTTTTCTTCCTCCTGCTCCTCCTCCTCCTCCGCCTCCTCCTTCTTCCTCCTATGCTGTGAGGCTTCCGTCCTTCTGGCGGCGGCTCCTCTTTGTCGCCCCGCCGGCTGGACTTTCGCGCGCGAGAGATACCCGTGCCCTTGCCCCGGCGGGGTGGCAAGGGACGGGGGGGGGGGGCGGCGCGCCGCAGCCGACGGCGGTTGCACGAGTGCAAATGCGACGGTCCACGGAACATTCTATGACGCTGTCTTCTCCGGGCACCTGCTGGCACCGACGGCGCGTGCGTTTCCATCGGCAGAGTGACCGGCTTGGAAGAGCTCGTTCGGATATGTGCGCCCACGAAGGCACGCAATCAAGCGTCTGGGGCTCGACGCGCAAAATGCGCTGTGGGCGTCCTGGGCGGGCGCCGCTGCAATCCCACGCTCGCCCCAGACGCCTGGGGCCCCGAACGCCAGGCGCGGTCGCCAGGGGTTGCTCCCTGGAAAGCCCGCCTGGTGCCACCCCAGTTAGGTCCGGACACGTGTCGGGGGGCACCGTCGCCGACGCGCGTTGATGGTACCCCCGAAGACATACCCGTACCAAATCGAAGTGGCGTTTGGCCGAAATCGCTCTCGGGCGCATGCGCGACCCCCGAACGCTCCCCCGAACGCGGCCGCAGCGGCCCCTGGGGGAGCGTGGGATTGCAACGGCGCTCCTGCGGGCAAGTCCAAACGCACCGGAGTGGTGGTGCCTGTCCCCAAACGGGATAGGCACCACGACTCCAATGCTGTTCTAAACCCCGCGGACACCCCCGATGGCCCCAGACGTCCCTGACGCAAACCAAGGCATGCCGCTGCAATCAAACAGCCAACCATTCAGCGTGTCGTGGCGTCACGATGCGCGGATGCTGCACCAACGCGCACGCGGCAGGCTGACCCGGCGCAGTGGCAAGCGCCCAATCCAGCGGACGGCCCTTGTCACCCAGGCCGACCCCGGGTAAGGGTACAGTGCGGGCGCGGCCGCAAGAAACCCTCGCAAGAAACCCAACCCTGAGAACCCGTGCGCCAGGTGCACCTGAGGGAAAGCCCGGAGCACCTTGAACGCAGCAGCTCCTCCAACGGCTGCGGAAGCCACCGCGCAGCGCGAGGAGCGAAGAATCCCGGGATACCCTGACGAAAAGCATATGGTTTGTTGATGCGCGCCCCCACTATTTTCGGGGATGGACAGACCCCCCTTTAGTAAAACGTGGTTTAGTGAAAACGACCTGAGGCCCAAACCTGGTGGGCGCAAGCCTGGAAAGTAACGGCCACGGCGCCCTCTCGAGAACCGAAAACGGACAATTCACTAATCGACGTGTCACTGTTGGGGGTTCTGTCCACCCCCGATATTTGTTTAGGGCCAGTGATTGGGCGCCGCCCCGGGAGAGCGGGCCAAGGGGCCGCGGGCGGGGGAGGGGTCCTGCACGGGGGGTGGGGGGGGCCTCGAGGCGCGCGCCCGCTCCGGGAGGGAGGCGGGCGAGGAGGAGGGTCAGGGGCCGGGCCAGGGCGCGGGAGGAAGGAGGAGGAGGAGGAGGAGGAGGAGGAGGAGGAGGAGGAGGAAGGAGGATGAGGATGAGGATGAGGAGGAGGAGGAGGAGGAGGAGGAGGAGGAAGAATCCCAGGGGGTCGGCGACAAGTCTGACCGTGAGAGCGGGCTGGAGGGTGGATGGAGGATGAAAGGAGGAGGGGGATCAAGGACCGAGGAGAACGAGCCGGAAGGAGGGACACAACACAAGGAAGGCATTAGGGCGGTCCCTCGAATGCGAGGCATCCTTTCTCAATCTGACAGCTTGCTCGTACGCCCCACCCCCATACCATCTGGCCTGCTCCCCGGCGAAAGTGTAGAAAACCAGCTTGCCATCGGCACTAGCCGTGACCACGTACTGGGAGTCCATGGTCACGTCGACCTCGCGGGGGTCGACGGCGACGTCCGCTGCTGCTGGACAAAACGACGAACGAAGACGACATGCAACAATGCGAGGCAACATTGGTTTATACCGAATCGGGAATCGTTATGTTGCATCCTCGGGGGACCTTGTCTGTCCCGTCGCGGCCCTGTCCGCGTCGAATCCGTGTCGAATCCATGTCGGACGCGTCGGATCCGTGTCGAATCCGTGTCGAATCCGCGTCGAATCCACGCCAAATCCGCGTCGAGTCCGCATCGAGCACGCGTCGGGCCCCCCAAAAGACACCAATTTTTGGGACAGGCGAGGACCCCCGAAGATGCAACAGAAGAATCGGCTCGAATCGAACAGTGTGCCCGATCGGGCAGCATCGGCCCGGAGTCGGAAGCGAATCGAATCGGCCGCGCCAGGATGCACGCCCGCGCCATGCAGACAGCGGGCCGCGTCGGATCGTCGGAGCATCGGAATCGAATCGGAGCGGGCCGGCCGAAAGCGCTGTCGGGTCGGATCGAACTGGACGCTGGAGGGCAGGATGCGATTAGTCGGGTTAGGAGGCCGCATGCGAACCCTACCCCTACCCCCCACGATTTCTGAGGGGGAGGGTGGGGTTCACCCCGTTCGGGAGCTCCCGAGCGAAGTGAACCTCCCCCTTCCCCTCAGAAATCGTGGGGGGTAGGGGTAGGGTTCGCGTGTGGCCCCCTACGGGTGAGAACACCTCGGGGGTCTCCGAGAGCTGGCGGGTGCAGAAAGGGTGGCCACATCAGGCGGCGCGGCAAGCCCAGAATTGTTCCTTCGGGCGCTCCGAGAGTGCCGTGGGGCCACTCCGTTCTCGCATGCTCGGTCTGCCTCGGAAGATCGCAAGGGGGGTTGGAGAACCAAGACAGGGGCGGACTTCACTACCGGGCAGGGACTTATCCAGAACCACCGCCCGGGGGATCATCTTCGGGGACGTCGGCAGGAGGTGGATATCGTTCTACATATCTCTATAGATATGAGCATTACAACGTTGTTGTATGCACGTCTGTGTGTATACCTGCATGTATGTTTGCATTCATCTGTGTATGCATGTATGCATGCATGCATGCATGCATACACGTATGTGTATATACATGTATAGGCATGTCGATATAAATATGTATGCATGCCTGTCTGCATACATGCACGTATCTATGTATGTGTGTATGTGTGTGTATGCATGTATGTATGTATGTATGTATGTATGCATGCATGTATGTATGTATGTATGTATGTATGTATGTATGTGTATATATATATACATGTATGTATGTATGTATGTATGCATACATGTATATATGTATGTATGTATGCATGTATGTATGTATGTATGTATGTATATATGTGTATATGTATGTACGTATGGATGTAGGTATGTATGCATGTTTGTATGTATATATATGTGTATGTATGTATGTATGTATGCATGCATGTATGCAGGTATATATATATATATATATATAGATGTAGGTGTATATATATGTATGTATGTATGCATACATTCATGCATGCATGCATGTATGTATGTATGGCTGTATGTGCGTATGTGAACATGTATGTATGTGTATATACATGTATATGTGTATGTGTGTATGTGAGTATGTATGTATGTATGCATGCATGCATGGATGTATGTATGTATGCAGGCATGCATGAATGCATGAATACATGCATGTATGCATATATGTATGTATGTATGTATGTATGTATGTATGTATGTATGTATGTATGTATGTATGTATGTTTGCATGTATGCATGTGTGTATGTGTATATATATATATATAGATACATGTACATATATATATATATCGATGTATGTATGTATGGATGCATGTATGAGTGATCGCGGGCTCCGGCTCCTCGGGCCCCCCCCCCAGATGGGATGGGTCCCAGGGTCCTCGGGCCCCCCAACCCCAAATGGGATGGGGGGGGGGGAGGAGGAGGAGGAGGAGGAGGAGGAGGAGGAGGAGGAGGAGGAGGAGGAGGAGGAGGAGGAGAGGAAGGAGGAGGAGGACGACGGCAATGACGACGACGACGACGACGACGACGACGACGACGACGACACCGACAACGACGACGACGACAACGACGACAACGTCGACGGCACCACCAGCGGCGGCGGCGGCGACGTCGAGCACCGGAGCTGTCAACATGACGCCAATCCCAGCCACACGCCGCACCCACACCGCACCCACAGGGGGGAGGGAGGGGGGAGGAGGACCATGGCGTCACCCTGCACACACCCACAGCAACACACCACACCCAGACCACTTCCACAGGGGAGGGGGGGAGCCACCACGCCACGCCCACGCCCAGGGGGGGGGGTCATCGCCTGGGGGGGGGGGGGGCGATGGCACTAGCATTGAAGGGTGGGGGCCCAAACCCTCGACCATGTATGTATGCATGTATGTACGAATGTATGTATACGTGTATGCATGTATGCATGTATGTCTGTATGTATGGATGTGTATGCATGTATGTACGTATGTATGCATGGATATATGTATGCATGTATGTATGCATGCATGCAAGCATGCATGTATGCAGAAGCTTGTATATGTGTATATATGTACAGATATGCATGTGCGTGTGTGTTTGTGTATGCATGTATGTATGTGTATTTATACATAGAAACGTATGTGTGTGTGTGCCCCCGGGCCGAACCTGTCCATGCTCACTGCTCGCCGAGACCCCCGAAGCTCGATCCGAGCCTCCAGGCGATGGTTGTGGATGAATCCCTGCCTCGGACTCACAGCAGCAGAGGAGCCTTTGCCCGAGGGGGGGCCAGAGGGGAGGGGGGGAAGGGGGACGAAGCCCCGCGCTGCGAGAGGGCTCTCCGTGGCCATGCTCGCCCAGCCTCTCCAGGGGATGATAAAAGGAGAGACACGAGGAGGCAGGAAAAGCCAGGTTTAGGTCGGGCATGGCCCCCTTCAGGCGGACTTTGGACGTTAAATATAAAATAATCAACACATGCTCCAACATTACCGAACAAGTAATCAAACAATCGTCCCCATATCATTCCCAACCATCCTGTGGTGTTGGGTCCTCGTTTTGAAGAGACGGTCCCCGCGTTCCTCCTCTTCTCCTCCTCCCCCTCCTCCTCTCCACCGCCCGCATGCGTCCCCCACACCAATTTCGGCACATCCCTCATACGTTTCGTGGCCCCATGGGGAGCTCCACAGAAGCCCCCAGTGGTACCGCCCACATGCGTCCCCCACACCCAATTTGACATTTTCACCAACCCAGTACAACGTTTCGTGGCCCCATAGGGAGCTCCACCGAAACCCCTAGTGGGACCGCCCGCATGCGCCCCCCCACGCCCAATTTGGCTTTTTCACCCACCCATTACAACGCTTCGTGACCCCATGGAGGGCTCCACGGAAGCCCCCAGTGGTACCGCCCACATGCGTCCCCCACATCCAACTTGGCATTTGCACCCACCCAGTGCAACGCTTCATGGCCCAATAGGGAGCCCCACCGAAGCCCCCAGTGGGACCGCCCGCATGCGCCCCCCACACCCCATTTGGCAGTTTCACCCACCCAGCACAACGTTTCGTGGCCCCATAGGGGCGCCCGCATGCGCCACCCACGCCCAATTTGGCAGTTTCACGCACCCAGTACAGCCCTTCGTGGCCCCATAGGGAGTTCCACCGAAGCCCCCTGTGGGACGGCCCGCATGCGTGCCTCACAGGGAGCTCCACCAAAGCCTCCAGTGGGACCGCCCGCATGCGTCCCCCACACACAATTTGGCATTTTCACCGACCCAGTACAGCGCTTCGTGACCCCATAGGGAGCCCCACCGAAGCCCCCAGTGGGGCCGCCCGCATGCGTCCCCCACACTCAATTTGGCATGTTCACGCACCCTTTACAACGCTTCGCGGCCCCATGGGGAGCTCCACCGAAGACCCCAATGGGACCGCCCGCATGCGCCCCACACGCCTAATGTAGTATTTTCACCCACCCAGTGCGGCGTTTTGTAGCCTCATAGGGAGCTTCACCGACGGCCCCAGTGCTACCGCCCGCATGCGTTCCCCCCCCGCCCAGCGCAGCGCTTCGTGGCCCCGCTTCACCGAAGTTGACCTTCACAATTGCGGTACCCACAACTTGAGATGGCTGGGTCCTTCGCCAGGATGTTTTTTTGACTAATTTGAATCCTCCTCCTGTAGAGGGAATCGCCCGACTTAAAGCTAGGCGCGCTCGCGCCCATCCACAGCGCCACCCGTCCCTGCGGCCCACGGCGCTGCTATTTTCCCCCCGCCCGCGGACGGGTGCCACATAGCGGACGTGCCTCCCCCAGACGAGGGGAGGGGACCGCGCGCGCCCCGCACTGCGGGGGAGGGGATGGGGGGGGGGGGGCGGGTGCGCTCTCGCGTCACATCTGCTGTCCTGCCCCTCCCTCCCATCCCTTAACCGTGGCGTAGCTGTCCTCTCTGCTCGCGCCGTCGGATGCCGAGCAGGGCAAGGATCGCGAGAGGGTGCGCGACGCGGGGGGGGGTGACGACCTACCAGACCACCCCAACCCAACCCGAAGACCCGAATCTCGGGTTGGGGGGGGGAAGGGTTCCACATGTGTTTTTTCGATGTTTCCCGACCCCCCCCCACTGGAAATCGAGGGTAAATTTGAGCCTTCGGGTTGGGTTGGGGTGGTTTGGTGGGTGGTGACTGGGGGGCGCGAAGCGCGATCGCCCTCGCGCTCGCGGACCCCCATGGAGAGCAGCAGCTGCCTGGCCCCGGGTGGCGACCAGAGGGCTCGGAAGTCCCCCGACCTTCTGAGCAGTTTGGGCGCCCGAGTTATCCGGGGTAACTCGGGTCCGGGGTAACTCGGGTTTGGATTCCCGAAAAAGGAACCCGAGTTAGCCCTGACCCGAGTTACCCCTGATAATTCGGGGCTCTGGACGCCCGAGTTATCCGGGGTAACTCGGGTCCGGGGTAACTCGGGTTTGGATTCCCGAAAAAGGAACCCGAGTTAGCCCTGACTCGAGTTACC